CACTTACCTGCAACACTTACCTGCAACACTTACCTGCAACACTTACCTGCAACACTTGCCTGCAACACTTACCTGCAACACTTACCTGCAACACTTACCTGCCACACTTGCCTGCAACACTTGCCTTATCCCTGTACATTTGTTACCACGCGGCCCTAGAGCGGCCCTAGAGCGGCCCTAGAGTGGCCCTAGAGTGGCCCTAGAGTGGCCCTAGAGTGGCCCTAGAGTGGCCCTAGAGTGGCCCTAGAGTGGCCGTAAGCGGCCCTAGAGTGGCCCTAGAGTGGCCCTAGAGCGGCCCGAAGTGGCCCTAGAGTGGCCATAAATGGCCCTAGAGTGCCCCTAGAGTGGTCCTAGAGCACTTCAATGCCTTTCTCACTCACCTCCCTGTACATTTGTTAACACGCGGCCCTAGAACCCTTCAATGTCTGCAGCTTCTGCCTCCCTCACCCACCATCTAGCACTCAACACAGACCCTCCCCCGCCCCAAACACAACAGACAGACTAAACAATCACCTGACCACTCCACCCGTTAAACTAGACCTGCTTGTTGCAATTGTTCCTGAAAACTCAAAGAGACGCCATCTTTAAACGGCCCTGGTAATTTTAGAGCCTGTGCGGTGAAGGACATGTAATGGAAGGTCACGCTCAAGGCCGTTGAATCTTTTAAAGAAATGTACACAATTTCCGCTGTCGCTTGTGATCCATTACTAAAATTAACTCACGCATGCAAATCATTCGCTCTCTGACGGAATACATCGGTACTTACATATATTAGAAGCCAACCCACACGGAGACGGGGAATTCTGCTAGTCCTTAGAGAAATGTTCCAGAGTTCTCAAGATATTTATTAACGTCACGCGTTGTAGCTAGTTTATAAACATTACAATACAATGAATATTGTAGAACCCTAAAATACATTTACGCAAGTGATATCAGTTTAGACAAAAAGGAAGCTGACACTATTGATATTATAATTCAGATAGGTTATACATATTTAAATGAGATAGTTGTCTCAATACTAGGTAGTGGCATGTTCTCTGCTAGAATGGCAGCCTGCAGGATGGGGGGGGGGGGGGGGGGCTGGACAGGGTGATCTCATAATGATACGAGTATTAAATAAGGAAAATAGAAATAACTTTGTACTGGATTTAAAATTCCGTAATCGATATCGATTATACTGATTCGTGTTTTTCTTAATATGAGTCAACATTTGATGTTTATCAATGTGACGTGTGTGTGTGTGTGTGGGGTGATAACTCAAAACCCTCAACCCCCCCCCCCCCCTGACTGTTGACGTCCATGAACACTAGTTGATACAAGCTTCCACCAGCTCTAGCTGTTTGTGTTAACACGTCCTGACGTCTCAGTGACGTCTAGGATAGGTGACGTCATGCAGCGAACCACCGGCCTGTCAGTCGTGACCCCTGGGTAGGGTTTGACCTTTTCACCCGCCGCATTGTCCCCCTTGTCAATTAAAGGAATGGCTCTTGCCCTCGGTACCTCACGTCACACACACTCACACACATACATACACACACACATACACACACATGCACAAAGACAGACCGTGAGTACAGTCACCTTGAATAGAACCTGTCAACTGGATGATGCACCCAACACAAAACCTTGAATAGAACTCCGCCCATCCCCCCCCATCCCCACACAGGCAGTGCTCTCAATGTCCGGTAGTAAAAGGATGTCCAGTCATCCAATGTCCTGGTTCTATAAGATGTCGAGACATCCCATGTCCGGATGTGAAATAATGTCCATACTCCCCATACCAGATGTCAGACATCTACCCCCCCCCCCCCCCCCCACACACACACACTCGGGGGCCATACAAAATGAACTGTTGTATTGATCTTGTACTTTCACTTTAAACCAATACCCTCCAGCAGGGTCGGCGCTACCTATAAGGCGAACTAGGCGGTCGCCTAGGAGCTCTCCGTGGGGGGGGGGGGGGGGGGGGGAGGGGCGCGAAAATGGGTTGGAAAAACAAATTGAAAGTTTGAGGGGGGGGGGGGGGGGTGCAAATCGAAAGTTTGTCCCACGGTGCCGGGAAGGGTCGCTACGCCTCTGATAATACGGGGACACGAAAAAAATTGCGGGGGGGGGGGGGCGGCGCTTTTAATAAGTTTTGCCTAGGGCGCTAAATATCCTGGCTCCGACACTGCCCTCCACACAACCGGACTGTCCCCCCCCCCACCCTCATTTTAATCAGGAAACCTTTGCTTCTCCACCCCCCCCCCCCCTCATCGACGGTCCAGTGGTTGATGATCTTAGATTTTTCTATTTTTTTTTAAACACCAATCAATGTGCATGAACAAAACTAATGTACATTCATTTTATTTCATAACGACAATTGTATAACTGACATAACATAATGTTTCTCATTAGTATTACATCTAAGAAAGACACGATATAATCAGTTACGTAACAATTTCCTGCCGTTATAAACCTTCCCAAAAACCAGGAACCTCCACCTCCATGTGACGTCATTGGCAGACGTCATAAAATGAATTTACTTTGAAGCTTATGTTTTGAAAGCACTTCTAACACAACCGTTCAAGTTTAAGGCCAAACTTTTGTAGTTTTATGGTCAGCTATTCTCACAAGGATTGCATGATCAATAACCAACCCGGAAACAAATACCTTGACTTGAGCTGAACAGAGGACTTCCGGTTTCACAAGATTTTATTTGCTTGACCCCATTTCATGGTTGGTAGGTAGAAAGGAAACAAACTACAAAAGGAACTATCTAGATCTAATAGTTTCATTCAGTGAGTGTGATTGTTTCCTTTGTTAGGATGCCGGGTGGGTTTGGGGGGGGGGGGGGGGAGGGGCTGGGGAGTAGGCTAGCGAATTACCGAAGGTGGTCTGGTTGATGTGGTTGGTATATGTGGTTACTGTGGTATGTGGGGTTCTTATAGAAGTGTGGTTGGTGTGGTTGTTATGATTGCTGACGTTGGTATGGTTGGTATGTTTGCTGTAGTTGGTGTGGCTGCTGTGGTTGGTGTGGTCCCTGTGGTTCCTGTGTATGGTAGGGTTGCTCTGGTTGATATGGTAGGTGTGTCGGTTTCCTTACTGTGATCGGTGTGGTTGGTTCTGTTGGTGTGAATTGCGTGGTTGCTGTGGTTGCTGTGGTTGGTGTAGTTGGTGTGGTTGGTATGGTTGCTGTGGTTGCTGTGGTTGGTGTAGCTGGTGTGGTTGGTATGGTTGCTGTGGTTGGTGTGGTTGGTGTAGTTGGTGTGGTTGGTATGGTTGCTGTGGTTGGTGTGGTTGGTGTAGTTGGTGTGGTTGGTGTGGTTGCTGTGGTTGGTGTGGTTGGTGTAGTTGGTGTGGTTGCTGTGGTTGCTGTGGTTGGTGTGGTTGGTGTAGTTGGTGTGGTTGGTGTGGTTACTGTGGTTGGTGTAGTTGGTATGGTTGCTGTGGTTGGTGTGGTTGGTATGGTTGCTGTGGTTGGTGTAGTTGGTGTGGTTGGTATGGTTGCTGTGGTTGGTGTAGTTGGTATGGTTGGTATGGTTGGTGTGTCTCACCAAGCAGCTGACTAAACATCTCAATCTATCTTTATCTGCGCTGTACAGGTCGAGGTATCTGTAAATCTCTATCAGTATTACTTCACGGGGCAATACGTTGCCGTTAACAACTAAATCATCCGTATTGTTTAGTAGTGAAAATTGCATAATTATCTTTTAAATGAAATTCCTAATCAGTTATTTTGGTAGGGTGAGCACATCCCCCCATACTCCCCCCCATACTCCCCCCCCCCCCACCCCATGTTCACAATTAATGCTTACCTGATCGGACAGACGCTGCTCTGTAACACTTAAATCTACCTGTAAAACTAGAGCTTTGTGTTCAATGGCTTTTGTCTTTAAATAGCAAACTCTTCCTGTTGAGTTAAGCTATCCAGACATTAGATCTTTAAATAGCCGACTCTGTTGAATTAAGCTATTCAGACATTAGATCTTTAAATAGCCAATTTTGTTAATTTATGACATCCAGATATCAGATCTTTAAATAGCCAACAAGCTATCCATATTATTAAATAGCCACGTCTGTAGAGTTAAGCTATCCAGACATAAGATCTTTAAATATCCGACCATGTAGAGTTAAACTATCCAGAAACTAGATCTTTAAATAGCAGACTTTATGCAATTAAGCTATCCAGAAACTAGATCTTTAAATAGCCAACTTTGCCAGGTCAAGCTATCCAGAAACTAGAACTACAATCTTCCCTTAAAATGCATCGTTTTAATGCACATCTGGCTTTGTTTGTCTTAATTAAAACTGATTGACAAAAAATCACGCAATAAGTTATGCTATAAACAAAAACCAATAACAAACAATTAGCTATTGATATTTATTTTTCTGCTCAGAAATTTGCGAATTGCTCCTTGAAAAGACCTTCAATCATAACGTCCACTTTAAAAAAAAAAGTCTTATTTAGGCTAGATATTTTTACTTCAATATCTTTGTTAAAAAAAAATAAATTCACAGACACAGCCAACGGCCTAATGAAAAACTATTGATTGTTTTGGTCTGACGAGGTTTAAACCGTGTCTCTTCAAAGCGCGTATTTTTATAATCACCGTCTTAGCTGAGTACAGATTCTGTCATCTATGCGCGTGCAATTTCACCGCCCTAGACCGTCCTTAAAAAAAATCATTTTCATCGATAAACCAGACCCCCAAACACGATCAGTAAACACGGTGTAATAGCTCCACCCCCTCTCCCCTCCCCGGGATATTTTATCCTCAAATCCTAGTTAAAAAAGGAAAAAAAAAACTAGACCTATTAATTGATTAACTGTGGCTTATACTGTTTACTTTTTTCTTCCCCACAGCTTGAAGCGTACCTGTCGCTACACGGTGTGTTAGACGGTGTGTTAACACGGTGTGTGTATGTGAGCTGACTTGGATGGGATAAAGCGATACTTGTGTACACACAATACGCTCATCCCGCTCATCCACTGGATTATCCTCGTAGATACATTCTGGATTAGGTGTTAGTAAAAGTTTAATCTTCAGTGAGTGAATTAAAAAAAAAATTTAATCATGAAAAATTTCGATGTGGATAAAGTGTGCGTTTAAAAACGTGGGTCACTATTTAATTCAACATTCCGTGGATTTGGTGTAGTTAGTAGCTACTTTTTGTGGATACGTTTCTGGATTTGCTATCGTTACGATAATTGCTGTGGATTTGGTTGTTATATAATTCTGTGGATATACATTAATTGATCACAACGTGTGGATATAGCTGTTATATATATAGTGCGTGATAACCTGAAAATACACGTGGATACCCTTTTTGGATATAATGTAGTCGCCTATTCAATGGATGTGATGTTCTTATTAACTAATGTGGCTGTGTTGTGACGACATGAACTGGATAATGTGCCGAAGGGAGACTGGTCTAATGTAGAACGTGACGTCATACCGGATTAAAAGCTAAACAGGTAGGCCAGTTTAATCCAGCTTTTAATTGCACCCCCCCCCCCCCCAATCAAGATTTCGATTTGCACCCCCTCTCAAACTTTCGATTTGCACCCTCCCCCCTCAAACCTCAAACTTTCGATAGCACCCCCCTCAACCTTTCAATTTATTTTTCCAACCCATTTTGGTGCCCCCTTAGGTCGGCGCCGGGGGACATATGTCCCCCCCCCCCGCCCCCCCCCCCCCCCCCTTCGCTTCGCTACTGGTGCCTGTATATCGTAGGTTGACTTAGTCCCGCCCCTACTGTGCTTAACCTCCTGTCATAGTTTAACTTGATGCTACTATCTAGTGCTGTCTACGTAGAGGTTATCGTTTTATCACGTCCACGCGTAGGGTAAGAATAAGGGCGGGGTGTAAAAAATTCGACTGCTATTGTTGACTCGTGTGTATTGAGGGGCGGGAGTTCGAGTCCATTGTGGATATCTACATGTTTCACTTAACATCTAAATAATTATACGTTAAAGCAAACACCATGCAACGAAATATTGTAAAATTTACTTTCCAAAGATTCTTTTTGCCAGTTAACAGTATAGGAGAGGGGTGACACCAGAACGAAAAAGCAAAATTGTTAGAGGGGGGATGGGGGGGGGGGGGGGATGACACCCTCAATTGCCACACAGGATGACATCCGCACTAATGACGTCACTGGTCTGCAACTGGTTAATAAAGAAAACAAAATATCTTTATTTTTTTCTTATACATTCTATGTCCTTCTTTTAATTACATTAATTACCTATCATTTTGAAAATAATAAATCGCTACATTAAAGTTATTAGCATTGCAATGTACACATTAAAAATAATGTTTTGAATTAGATTTCAGAGGAATTGGGAGCAGGACAATTTAATTGTCTGGACGACAACAAGGACGGGGTGGGGGAGGGGGGTGTCGACGAGTGAACATTAAGAATGGGGGTGGAGGGGTATTTCTGAAGTTCAACGTGAACTTCATAGGTCGACTTGACCCAAACTTCACCTGACCTTACTCACGTCGAAACTGGTCCTGTTGTATTCTATACCTGACGACTGCCATACATGTGGTCACGTGACTATGAGTGAGCCAATTACAGACTTGGGTGTGAGAAATGAATTGGGGGGGTGTGTGCTTGGGGGCCAACAACGACGGTTAGACTATATCCCCCCTTGAGGGAAACGCAACTGCTGAAGAATAAACGAGGGTGGGGTACTTATCAAATTATCAGACAACCCCCCCCCCCACACACACACCAATATTTCTTTATTTAAAACAAATAAGAACACAAAAAAACGAAATAATTAACCCTGTCGTTATTATCAGAGTCAAAGTTTTTAAGAAATCGCGTGATGTAATAAAGCGAATATATGCTTAAAAGATGCATTTAATGCCTATTCAAGAACAAAAGCAAGTAATTAAAAAGCAACTTTTAAAAAAAACACAAGGCTTTTATTTATACAAATATACAAGGATACAAATTTGAGTCAAACAAAGATCAAACTACACTTTTTAGAAGCCTCATTACATATTAAGCCCCATATAAACGCATAAAACATTTTTATTGAAATTGTTTAACCATAAACCATTTAAACATTTGATTTGAAACATCTAAGTTCTGATTTGAGACTTCTAAGTTCTGCTCCACTGGCGCGTAATTCGCCACCCCATTGTCAACTTCCTGCGTGTTTCTCACAATAATGTGCAGTAATGAGAGGTGAATTAATCGTCGTCACGCATGGCTGAGCGACACGAGGTCACGTGATAGTTCCAAAGCTCACGCTTGAGCCAAAGGTCGCACGTGCACGACGGAATCCGTGCAGAACGGCGAGGTCAGAGGTCAGTGAATCAGCCGTGAATGCGCTCATTCAACATGGCGGGTGTGTGAACTCGAGCGTTGTGTACCGGGTGTACACGGTACAAAAGGAAGCTTTAAAGCAACGTTTTCTGTACAATTCAATAATTTACTATGAATTCTACACTTTTTTAAAAAAAAGTGTATTTAACATTTATAAAACATTATTTTTTTGTTTATACAAAACCTTATATATATATATATATATATATATATATATATATATATATATATATATATATATATATATTATATATATATATATATATATATATATATATATATATATATATATATATATTGTATATATATATATATATATATATATATATATATATATATATATATATATATATATATGTATATATATACGTATATATGTATATATATATACGTATATATGTATATATGTATATACGTATATATGTATATATGTATATACGTATATATGTATATATGTATATACGTATATATGTATATACGTATATACGTATATACGTATATACGAATATACGTATATACGAATATACGAACTTATTTTACATTTTCAATATCAGACAATAACTTTTTTTTCATCTTTTAAGTGTGTCATTATGCTTAAATAACTGTATAACATTCTAGCCATAGCTCCAACTTAAGCATTTTATCATAGAAAAAAAATAACTAATAGAATAAACCCATAGTGTAATAAGATTGACTGAATGCTGGGTGGCTACACACTTTTTTTTCAGACATTTTGCTCCGGGGGTGGGCACTTAGACTTTCCGGCATGGGGACTAGAAACTTCCGGCGTGGGGACTAGAAACTTCCGAATGGGGACTAGAAACTTCCGGATGGGGACTATGAAATTTCCGGGTGGGGCGGACGAAGGTTAAAGTGTATATTTTCTATTCCAGGGGGTGTGGGGGCTGGACGTGCTCCTGGGTGAGCACTGGGTAGAGATGCCAGAAAGATATGCTGGTTTTGTCAGTTGAATTAACCGGACACTTTCTGTTAGGTCTACTGCGACAATGAGAAATTTATAGCGTGTAAAGATCCGAGTTGAGAGCACTCACTGAGACTGTTCTCATTCTCGCTAAGAAGGATGGAAGATACTTTAAAAAATATTCTTTGCGCATGTCAACTAGCATCGTAAGGTTTTTTTATGACTCTTCCCTTTAGAAAACAACATTGCATTAGTGTTTGTTTGTCTTGATACATTTATGTATTTCTTATCAATCTTATTTTTTAAATATGTTCGATATTTTTATTTTCTGAATGCTAAAAATGTTTTTGCGTCGAAATACTTTTGTATTTATTTTATTTTATTTTTATTCGAGCTGATTTTTTCGTGCAAGATTCAAAGGTTTTTTTTTAAAAAGATTAAAGCATTGTACGTGTCCATGGTTACCATTGTTGAAAGCTTTGTTGAACAAAATAATGCTGGGACAGCTTGAGAGATGAGTTGTCTGTTGTACATTAGAGACTCACAGGCCGATATAAAAGTATATGAGGGAGGGGGGTGTCAGACAGGGCGACATAAAAGTATATGGGGGAGGGGGTGTCAGATAGGCCGACATAAAAGTATATGGGGGAGGGGGGTGTCAGACAGGGCGACATAAAAGTATATGGGGGAGGGGGTGTCAGACAGGGCGACATAAAAGTATACGAGGGGGGGGGTGTCAAAGTAGAGACAGGCCGACATAAAATTATATGAGGGGGAGACAGGCTAACACAAAAAAAGAACTACATGCCAGCTGCATGAACCAACACATCAGACATAATTATGTTACACTAAATGATCTACATACACCAACATATCAGACATAATTATGTTGCACTAAATGATCTACATACACCAACACATCAGACATAATTATGTTACACTAAATGATCTACATACACCAACACATCAGACATAATTATGTTGCACTAAATGATCTACATACACCAACACATCAGACATAATTATGTTACACTAAATGATCTACATACACCAACATATCAGACATAATTATGTTGCACTAAATGATCTACATACACCAACATATCAGACATAATTATGTTGCACTAAATGATCTACATACACCAACATATCAGACATAATTATGTTGCACTAAATGATCTACATACACCAACATATCAGACATAATTATGTTGCACTAAATGATCTACATACACCAACATATCAGACATAATTATGTTGCACTAAATGATCTACGTACACCAACATATCAGACATAATTATGTTGCACTAAATGATCTACATACACCAACATATCAGACATAATTATGTTACACTAAATGATCTACATACAACAACACATCAGACATAATTATGTTGCACTAAATGATCTACATACACCAACACATCAGACATAATTATGTTGCACTAAATGATCTACATACACCAACACATCAGACATAATTATGTTGCACTAAATGATCTACATACAACAACACATCAGACATAATTATGTTGCACTAAATGATCTACATACACCAACACATCAGACATAATTATGTTGCACTAAATGATCTACATACACCAAAGAATAAACTCTGCCAACTCAACATAGACACATTCATCTAAACATCGACTGACATTATGAGGATACGCTCATGGTGTAGGGTACGGGGGGGGGGGGGAATCTAATGTTCATGTGAACAGGAGGCATATCGGCAATAATACAACACGATATATCAACAGGAGGCATATTGGCAATAATACAACACGATATATCAACAGGAGGCATATTGGCAATAATACAACACGATATATCAACAGGAGGCATATTGGCATTAATACAACACGATATATCAACAGGAGGCATATCGTCATTAATACAACACGATATATCAACAGGAGGCATATCGTCATTAATACAACACGATATATCAACAGAAATACAGCTACAGCCAGGTTTATGAGCTAGACATTGTATTAGAACAACAGCCAGATATATCAACTGAAATACAGCCACATATCAGCCAGAGATAACACTAAAACACTGCCAGACCCATTACTACTTAAAAGACACCCAGACACATCAACCAAAATACAGTCAGACATGGGCTTGTTTACAATTCCGACCATGTTTTAAACCTATATTAGCATAGGTTAAGTTAGTATGTCGCCCTTATTTGTGATGCATGCAT